TAAAATTTGTATGACGTTTACTTGAACCCGTGCCAGAAATTGAAATATCTACCGAGATTCAAGCGAATTAACTCGGCCACATTTCTCATTTACACCCACGTCTTTTATTGCAACGACGAATTGATTTTCACATTATCACTCAACCCTTTTATTGATGGAAATATCGTCGGCTGGCAACCTTAACGTTCTATCCATTATGATACGCTGAGTCCCTGGGTATCCCGGAGCGATGGATTAGATTAGAAGACACTTACCCACTCCCCACGTTCGTTGATGTGAATTTGCCGACTAATTAACCAAAGTTTCTGCTCGGTTGATTTAAACTGTAACATTATCATTGCAATGTAACCTCTCCTTCACTTAGATATTGCATGTAACTTATAATATTTCTTTTAAAATCAAAAAAGTCATAACTAGAAAATCTTTTGATATTCGTAATTCGAGTAATGAATGTGAAAATTCTTATTCCTTTGAAATCTAGTAAAGTTAAAATTGAATTTACAACTCGATCTAGGGAGTAGGATGGATGTTTTGCGTAGTTAGTAGCAGCGAGGGCTTAATTAAACTTCCTTGTCTTGAATTTAATTTGATGTATATATGTCAATTATATTACGGTTCAAAAACGATTTTATTTTCATTACAAATTTAAAGGTACTTGGTATTCGTGTGCGTGTGGAACAGCTATTAGCGCTTCTATTTAATTTTAATTTTCTATTAATTAGTGTTTGTTTTTGTTAAATGAATAATGAAGTTGCAAAACTAACCTGAATTACGATAATTCAAATATTAAATTCAATGTAATACAGTTAAATGGTTCTTTCTAGCTCTACTACACAATTTAAAAAAAATTTGCTGGATGTACTTTTATGTTCAAACTTTATCGTTCACTTTTAGACGCTGTCCCCAGATCTTCTTCTGTTATTTCTCAGTTTTGAAACTATTCTGCGCCTATTATGTTGAAATATAATGTTTTGGTGAATCAATAAATCCTGATGTAGCTATAAAACACTCGAAGTGACAAAGTTTTAAAAGGTTTAGCACCGGCCAACTTTCTCGTCGTGAGGGTAATAAAGCGAATAACTGCTAAATCGATAAACAACTAACCTCGAAATTCAAGGAGTGTGGTATCTCCCTTGAAATTTATTACCTGCCATTTTGTCCTTCCCTTTTCGCGACAATTTAATGTATGCTTATGGGCCCCCCAATGCCGAAACCGTGGCCGTTTATTCTATAAATTAACACGCTTTTTTTATAAACCCTTTTATTTAAATTAATAACTTTTTTACCACAACTGATATAAGCCAACTTTCTGTCCGCACAATCATCAATTAAATAATATTAAATGGCCAATTATTAATAGCAAAATTGTTCTGAACAGTATTGGAAATATATCATGTGGCCATTAATAATTACTAATTTATTATGGGCTTTATCTATAAATTCGGATATAATCGCTATTAATATTTAATAGTATTGAGTTGTGAACTGATTAATTTGAAATGAAGCCAATAATTCTTATTATTTTTTCTATTAAAAAATAACAGCAAACAAATTTTATTATTTTCACCAAAATGAGCTTGTATTTAATTCTCGATTTCTTGTTATTGCAGAAGGAAGAGAAATTTTCCGATTATGGAATTCTATAGAATAGATCATAGGTCAATTTTCCATTTAAGGTTCTGATTTCTTAATGTGTACGTTGTGAAAACTAGGTCTATCCATTTTAGTTGGCAAACTCTGTAGAAAGTTTTTCTCATTTTATTTATTTTCACTTTAACCTTTAGCTGAATGATTATTGATTGAATTAGCGAATACCGTTTACACAAAATGTAGTTTTAAAAATGAATTGATGAATATATATATATGATAGGTACATTTGTGATTCCACATTAGCAACAAATATCTAACATCTATACAAAGACGGACGACCATAAATTTAACTTCCGTTTCGTTGCGTTTGAAGCTGCTCATAAAATATGCATTACTTGTGCATACGTGCATCTCTAGCGCCGATCAAAAATAACACGCTTGTCTTCGTGTGAATAATGCTTTATGAAGGGCGTCGTGTACAGTCGTGCGCAAACGTAAACTAATGCGATTTTACGCTTTGGATTCGAAACTCGACTCAAATTAGAATATCAATGGTAGCCGAAATGGTCAACGTGTCAAATTGAATTGCTACGTGCCCATCACGATTTTGTTGATTATTGGCGGTTTAATTTAAAAATGGGAGACAGATAGTGCCACACACACCTCTTTTATAAATAGATTACGAATTTTCTATTTCTATTGTATCAGAATTATATTACATCATAAATTTTCGAAAAATTCTAATATCATTCTATTATTTATCACCTTCCGTCGGAGAGCAAAATTCTAATTCTTGTTTCAATGTAATGTACGTCGTTCGCTTTACGATGCGGCGTTTGCGTCTAATTTAATGTTGCGCTATGTTGTGTACCAGGTCCGAGGAAAGCATAAACAGCGAGAGGAAATTTTGGGGTACGCAAACTCTGGCATCTGAACCGAAGATTTATGCCCCCGGCACTCGACGATGTTGACACAAACATCCGGCTCCTTCGCGTAGCGGATGAGGATTATTAAAATCCGCACGGCCACCTCGGTAGCGTAATTCTCTGCTGTTGGTCGAGGTGTAATTTATTCCTTTCGTTTTAGTCTTTTAGCACGGATATTCACCGGCGCATTCTAATAGTGAATTTTTATAATTAATATAATTTCATTCACAACGTGTTTACATAAAGATTTAGGCAATTGGTTAGGTTATTCCGTAATATAATATTGAAATATGAATCAACGATTAATCCCACTCCGTGTTCATGCTTTCCATGGATTGATCCGCAACAGTATATTCTCTTATAGCCTCTTATGTCACAGCGGCTAGCCTTGGGCCATCTCATCTCACTCACCCCCATGATCTCGATTCCCATTCTCTCGCGCCATTGTTTTGCAATTCCATGTAGGTGCATTCTTTTAGTATGTTTTGTTTACGATCACTTATGTTTCTGCTCTTATTCGCTTCCCCACGGAGATTCCATCGGGAAGCTTGAAACTGCTGACTCATTTGACAACACATCCATAATTCATGAAAGTAAGCTTCAATATGTTACTAATCATGATTTTTGAAATTATTTATCAAAAGTCAACTGCAAACTCTAAAAAACGTTGAATGAATCTGTAATATGTATAAGTTTAAATATAATAAAGTTTTCAATAAAGTATCTCAACAACCATCGAGTAATACGGCAGAAAAGTCTCTTTATGCTAAACTCTCCGCATCGACCGATTGAAACTCCCATTTCAATAGTGGTCGGTATCCTCTAGTTGTTCTAGACTTTTCAATCCGACAATTGTGTCGCATTGCACTACACCTCGTTGCGGTTAACATTAAAATGTTTTACATAGTAATTATGGATTTCAATAATTTTTTCACTACAAAGACCATGTAATTTAATCACCATATTATTCTGATTCAATAAAATAAGAAAAAGCATTTGCAAATTAACGATCTGTCTCAAAAAAGCACGCGGTTAATTCCGTATTTCTATTTACAGTACTACTAGAATATGCAATGGAGACGTGCACTTTGTGAGAATGCTATTAAGAGAAAGAGTTTTGCATATTTATGAGGTTGAGTTTTGGCGAATGAACTTACGTCAAATGCCGGTATAATTTGGTGTCGGACCACTCCTCGTTGCGTAACTAACTTACATAAAAAGTTAATTCTGCTATACATTAGCTCGGCGCTTTTACGTTAAGAAATAGTTATAATTTTACGGGCACTTGCGAATGTATGAACAACACACACAAATGTGTCTGGGTATAACATGTTTGTGATTACTACATGATAAATTGTGTTTGGTCTGCTGTAAACACGCCTCTAAAGCGCAGTTAGTTTCAACAGGCTGATTTGCGATTCCAGCGATATTTATGACATTCATTCAACCGGCGGTTTTGATGTTTTGGCGACGTTCCCGTAGTTTTTCGCCCAAGTTTATGACTCAACCGCGGCACTGCTTCGAAATATTTTCCTGAACTTTTAAAGAGCCGCATGCAACACACGCTAATTAGAACGGTTTTGACACGCACATTTGAAATTTCAACGAAAGTATTAGTAACAACTAGTGATCGAACCAAAGAAAATCACTGAAAATACAAATTTAAATTTTAATGGCTTATTTCAAAAACAATTTGCAATCTTCCAACAATCAAACAAATTGCAAAATTGCATTTTATATGTTTCATTTGATTTGACCTGAGTTTTCTGGGTTAGATTTATGGCAGAGGACTCATATGATAAATTCGGTAGCATAAGAGCTAATTAAAATGATAAATGACCTATCGATATGGGATCGCAAGAGCCTGTGAGATGGCAAGCTCGAGTACCGTCTGCGTACCTTGCCAAATGTCAGGTCTCTTTTAGCGCATACAAAGTGGGAGAATAAATTTTTTAAATATTATAAAAATAGTGGTTAAATTAAGTAATTTCTTTTCATGTACACATTAATTTCGTTCAAAACTCAACACCCAACGAAATGATATTGCATAATAATTTATAATAGCGAAATATTATACATATTTTGTATAGGACAAAAGCAGAAAGCGTTGTATTTAATGATCTGTATATTTTAAAACTCGTGAAACAGTCCGCACCACCATATGTGCGTTGCAGATGATTGTTTCGGATTAATATCGTACAAGTTGCTGCCAATTATTGCGCCTACGGGTTGCGACACTCAGTTTGTTTTAATTAATTTTTGCATTCAACATCCCGCATTTGACCTTTATCGTCGTCTACATACCGCTACAAAACCAATTCCATACGTTTGCCGAGTTCAAAAGAATAATGAAATATCCATCCGCTTTTCAGTTTAATCTCGGTCCTTTTACGTTGAGATTTACAATTTTTTTGATTCATCGTTGACCTCCAGTCTCATGAAATCGATCGTGCTAAAACTGTTATATATTTTTTCTCTTTGCAGCCGGAGAAGCTGAATGTCCACAAGAACGACTCGGAAAGTTGGGATTACACCGTTTCAATGAGTGAGTGAATAGTTTTTTTATTATTATTTTTTAATCCATGCGAATTGTGTTTACTCAATACACATTATACAAAAAAGAAATGCTAACATTTGCTCTCGATACTCCGATTCACTACCGTGTTTAACCATTAAACGAAAAATTATTGAATCACACTTTTATTTATTGTTAACAACAAAATCAAAATAGGAATTTAATTAAAAAAAATAGATGTCGTACGAAGAAGGTTATAAAACCATATAAATTGATAACTTAAAGGTGAAGTTTGACAACTATCTACCGAAGGTGACCTATATTTTCTATATTGATTTCAAAATTTACGTACCGAATTACCGAACGTTGCTTCTGTCCCAGTGGGATTAAAGAAAATCAATAGTAAAATGTTGTGTGGCAGCATATAAATAGAAATTTACTTTTTTGTTATATAGCTATCAAAATTAAGCTTCTTCTTTTTAAGTGTTTCTTAATCTTTTTTTCTTATAATTTTCTATTTATTCCAGAAAATGTGATATATGTATCACTTGATGATTTTTAACCTGTCGATATAGTACCCGTTGACTTTTCTATAGGTGTTTTGTAGATTAAAGTGATAGTGCACCGTGTACGTTCTAAATCCTTTTAAAGCGATATCCATTTTCCGAATCTGATCCCGGAATCTTTCACAACGGGATATAGCTTAGATTACCTTTCGCTTCTATTTATCCGTTGTACTCAAAACTAATCGATAGTGATGTAGTAGGATTTTGAGGAGTAAAAATAGATCAACGCGTAATATTTAAATAACATTGTATTGTTTTCCTAGGTATTAATTTATTAGATTTTCCTCTCTCTCATCTAGTCATGAATTCCCTCTATCCAGCTGGTCCTTGTTCTTCCTCTCTTTCTATGATCGTGGGGTTTCCAGTTTAAAATTTTTTAGGAAGTCGATTCTCATCCATCTTTTGGATATGACCAAACCATCTTAATTGTTTCGTTTGTAGACCATCTACCATTCTTCTTTCTGATCTTGACCTCTTATCATGCATTGTTGATTCCTACTTTTCCCGGAAAGATTGTGGATGTATATTTGTGGATTTCTTTATATGTCTGTTTACATTATCATTAACTGTTAACCAACCTTAACTGAATGTTTTAATTCAAGATAATTTTTCTATTTTATAGTTGTACTTTAGTTTATGCCGATTTTATTTACTTCTTAATGGTTTGTTTACTTAACCAAATATTTAACATTTTTCATTTTAAGTTTATTTAAATTTGCTTAGTTTTAAAAGTCTTAGTCAGTGGTAATAAAAATTACTATTCTTGTAAACTTTTATAGTTCATATCTTCATTTTTTTCACGTTTAAATCAAAATGTAAAGAAATTCATGCTCCAAATTATCGTTTTACTCTTTGACGCCCAAAAAAAGATATTGTAGCGCGTCATCAACACCCTGATTTTATGTCCGCAGTAACGTTTATGGCGCATATTATGCGCGTGATTTTATAGTTTGAGAATTGCAGCTGGCGTGAAACGAAGTATTTTTAGAGTCTACCAGAAACGATAGTCACTTAAATAAATAATGAGCAGCACAAGTCCAAAAGGAGATGCTATTTTCTGACTAGTTTTCTTTTCCCCAAAGGAACATTATTAAACCAAACCGAATGGAAGACGTACCAACGTTGCTGTGAAGTGATTCAAACGTAAAATAAAGATTACTTGATTTGTTTATTTCGTCGATTTGTGATTCCTAATTTATGTACTATTTAGATCTTTATATTTTTAACATTTAAATAACAGTTCAAGTAATGCAATCGAATAATTTATACTGACGTAGTTATAATTGCTTTTTAGATTTTGCCAACTGAGCAGGTAGCTAAAACAGCATCGTAATGAGAAAAGTTTTCCGTTATGAGATTATTTAAAGTCAGTAAAGTAGCACCTTCTTTTTTTAGTTGTTGGATTTGCATTTGTCGTTGTTTCAAATTAAGAACGTTAACTATATGTATAGTGAAATATAACTCGTTTAAATAAAACTAGTCAGTTATATTTCAAATTTAATTATGTCTTTAGACTACTTGCAGCGATTCAATGCCGAAGCTTTCACATTGTTTTCCTATAAATACTCTAGTGTCGCCTGGCTCTGAACCAAAGCTTGCATTTTTGTTTTTGTCTGTAGTGACTAGGTGTTAAAATAGAACTCTACTTAATTGACACGTGTTGAAAAGTCAACTAGAATTATTACTTATTACCGCGAAGATATAAAATATCTCAGTTACGTTTTAATAATCTAAATTAAACACTACTTAATTCCGTTCATTTTTTATTCGTAACAAATAATCCAGATATATATGGGTACCTGCATCGTAGTTAATTTATTTAAAATCATGTATTCGGCCCAAACAGATAAGAAGATTAAGGTTGATTCATTTATTATAATAGTGCTGATTATGAATTCCCATGTTCCTTTAGAGTGGGTGTTAGTAGAAACCGTGCAGTGAATAGACATAAATTATGCAGCACCCTTTTTATGTACCAGACTTTATTACAGGACGTCGCTCGTTTCAGTTCCTACAATGTTCGGTTCTGCAATCTGAGCATTAGTATGGTACGTTCTCTTTGTTAATTCGCTTACAACCACAATGCCGAATTCAGTCCTCGAGTTACATTTTTAGTTTGCGGAGAAATATTACTTGCTGAAAAATGCAGTTTCTATCTTGCCGAGGCTTAAGCCAACATTTGCCGTAGAGATTTATCTTTTGTTCAAGTTGATGTTTTGTGACGACGAAAATTTTTGTATGTTAGATTTGCTTTTCACTTACAAAGAAAAGTTCATACGTCGTAAATATCGCGTTCGTCTCGTATGTATTGTTTACACGTGCGTGAATAATGATGGTAAATATGTCCTCTTATGCTAGACGATTGAAAGTTGGAAGCTGTAAAATTATGTCTCCTCGAAATAGTGAGGGATTCTTGTTTCTGGGTGTGACTGACGTAAAACATTAATCAGACCAAAATAGATGGACAGTAAAGACCGCCGACAGAGTTCGAGCCGCGACGGTTGCCGACGGTGGATCATTTCGGTTTTCCGGGACGCAAACGGAGCAAAGTTGTTCGCGGGGGGCAAATTGAGGCCTTCTAAGCGAAGCCATAATCCCCCGACCCACAAATCACTCGTCGCCGTCCAGTTGTCACCTCTCATCCACTACTACGACTTTTTCGTTTTCGTCGTCGTGTTTCAGAACGTCACGTTAAGTAGCATGTTTAACTAGGGGACATTGGACCGGAACCGATGTCCTTAGAGGTATTCAGACCCTTTTAAATGGAGCTGGATTATGTTTCTAACGTGAACTATATCCCCTGTGTAAGTATATAAGTTTACTATTTCTATAATTTCTTTGAAGGTTGAATTCTATTCATCAAAAATTGTTTCAGAAAACCATATTTTAGAGTTAGTTGTTCCACTTCATTTTTATGACCTTTTTAAATTGTATTCGGATTTTTTTTAGTATAAAACACATTTTACACTAAAAGTAATTTTGTGTAATGTCAAATTTATCAGTTTTATGTTGGCTACTCGCAGCGCGTTGTGTATACGTATACGCCGGATATTTATAGTCTTAGTAATAAACAGTTTCATTCAGTGTAAAGAAATATTTTGGTTTGGAATACTATTTCCTGTACTTGTCGAGTGACAATATTTACTGACGTTAATGTATCAATTGAACTGTTGATTGAATGTGCCAATAATATTTTCAATTTGAAATTTCTTACATCATTTATGAAATTGTCGTTTAAATTATGAGATTGTGTCATATTTTGGCAACGGTATATTACCATCACATCATTCAGCAGATACCATATGTTACATTAATAAGCAGTTTATATGTGGATCTAAATAATTTGATAGCTTTTCTTGGGGATAAGAAGTTTTTTAACTTAAATAACATGTTTGAATTGTAAATGGAATGCGGTTGGTGCTATTACGAGTTAAACCTGAATGTAAAGCTTTCTGCATGCCCTAATCGAATATAAACGCGATGTAAATTTGTGTAAATGTTTCCCCGAAGTATCTAGGGACCAGGATTCCCACTTATTATGTAGAAGTGTGTACCGCTTTGTTATTCAATAAACATCGTCGTTCCGAACGATTGTGTTGTTTCAATTTCTATTAATAAACGCCGGAAATATGCAAATAGCAATCGAATTTTGTAGGTCGTAATGATCTATGGCTGTAACGTATTTTTGTTTTTTGTTGCTACCGATATTGCGTTTCTCCGCAAATTTCGTTGGGGAATATAAACTTGGTAGCATCCAAAGAAAATATAACAGAGACATTTTGACTTGCAATAACAGGAGTTCAATCAATACCCGAGAGAAATACCTACTGTCGGCGTAAAGGTGATTCCGGGTTCCCGAATACTTTGGCCGCACGCCAGTGTTCAACCTTATTGAAACGAAAACGGCAAGAGAAATGTTTATATAGGAACGAATAAATATTTACTAATTGCTTTGGGAACAAATATATATCCGCGCATGCAGCACTAAAGGCCAATACTCCAACCGCTAAAGAATTCTAATTGATTTGTTTTTTTTTTGGCATGAGATTAATGTGTTTACCTAAAGTTCAGTTTACTTTGTTAATAGCGTATAAGGTCAATTAACAAATGATTACGCACATGTGTTATCCAATAACGTCTATATTTTTTACTTCAGTAAAATTTCTTTAGTTCTTAATCATGTAGTTACTTCCCCATATAAAATAAATAACCACATTATTCCGTTTATGAATAATTTTCAGGAGTTAAGTGCTAATTTATAACCATGTGAACAGAACACTGCAGCAACTATAAATCGTGCTGATCAGTAAATAAACTCCGACCCAGGCACCCAAGAAATCTAATTTGAGCCTCGTTTCTCGAATACTTTTGGCGATAGAAAACCCCGACTCCTTTTCTCTCCCCCTTTGAGCCAGTTTGCGGACAATCCTCGATTCCTCGTTTCTTCTTGTGAGAGGGGCTGTC